CAGCGCTTGCCGCTGTTCTGGTCACTCCGCTGTACGGCCAACCTGGGCAGTGCTCTCAAAATTTCTAAGACAGCCTCTTGGTGGTTCTTCCAATATAAGCTGTTCGAGACGAACAAGCTAAGGACTAAAGACAATAGGAATTACATGACTGCGGAATCCTGTCCTTAGGTTGCTGTTTCCTTAGCGGCACTGCACTGAAGGTTAAGAGTAAGCTTGCTGTGTAGTGGGTTTGAGAAATTGCATCCTGTCCCTCTTGAACTGTGGCGATAGATAGGCCGGTTTCTTTCTCACTGAAACCAGTTTAATCTTTGGTTCCAAACGCTCCATACGTATTCGAAACAACATCTCCGGATAGCGATTTCTCTCAAATAGGCTCCGTAGGAAGTTTAATTTTTCGCTGAATGCCTTATTGCTACATACATTTCTTGCTCATTCGGTTAAGTATCGGTCAAGTTTTCGTTTCCAGCTAAGTGTGACGAAGTTAGTAAAATGCGCGTATTGATCGTTCGACGTTACCTTTCTATGGACACTCTGTTTGACCGAACCGTCCGATGTTCCGCTCATCTGAATGTCTAAGTACGACATAGAGATTTCGCGTATGGATTCCAGGGTGAATTGTATGATAAAGCGTGCCGTTACTCTGCGTCATTAGCTTTTCCAATTATACGTTATTATCTGCAAGTACAAAATATGAGTATCGGCATCCGTATCCGGATTTGCCTGTCACTCTGACCTACATGGGGACAACAACAGGACGCCTGCGCCTACAGAGGGCCATGGGTGGTTTGCGTGACACCACCCACAGTTCCACCCACACTTTCACCCACATAACCACATCCGGTTGTAAATCCGTAGGGATAATACTGGAAAGCATGTGGATGGGAGCGACGCTTCATGCACGGAGCCGGCCCACACGCCTCCAACAAAGAGAACAGAAGCATCCTGACCTAATTTGGAAAGCATGCACACCAGCCGTGATCATGGCGGTGGCTGGACCCTAGCCCGTTCCACACAGGATGGTACCACTATTAAGCGTAGCACAGTCAAGAGGACGATGCACTTGTCCTCTCCAGCAACGGCTAACTGTATCCTGTAGCCAGTATGGACGAGCTAGTGGGTAATCGACTCGTAGGCATCTTGTCATTATTCCCATCAGGCGCAGCCAAACCGGGGAGCTTAAACAACGTCTACGTCTGAAATGCAAGCTTACTCAGCACGCAAACAGACTACCACATACGTTGCCTTATTGGCCTGGATTTTTAACTCCAATGGGGGCGTACGCATCGTGCTTCTATTCTGCGTGCAATAGTGCCTTCTCTTGCACCTGAGCAATTGCCCATTTGAGCAGTCCACGGAATTCGCATCGAACAAAGTTGCCTTGGATTCGCAACACCTGACATCAACATGTGTCTGTCACAAATTCAACTTGTTCATGTTCTGGTGATGTCATTTACGGTTTGGCCGAGTGCCGTTTCCCTGTACTAAGTCGGCCGTACAAAAGCGGTATGAGTATCCTTTTCGAATTTATTCGATATATATATATATATTTATAGATGGATTGACGTCATCGGTGTCCAGTGGCAGTTCCAATACGACATGTGCATTCGAAATAATTTGGAACACTGTTAGATCTTAAATGACTTCAAGTACAGGCAGCACGGGTTAATCGTTCTTGGGTTCAATTGTTCGCCGGGCTTCGTAATTGGTATGCAGACGTTTCATCACCATGCGAGGTGACTTCCTCAGTGCGCTGTAGGGTCAAACGTAATCCGCTGGTTTGGCCGTCGATTTGTGATTGATTAGCAAGTGACTTTTGAATTCTCTATCTCAATCTGTGCCCCGTGACCATTCGTCTACCCAGCTTCTCTGGTGAATATGGACGTTCCATAGGATGGTTTTGTCCCGGTTGTTGCTGCTGTGTTATTAACGGGTCTGTTAACTGCTTTCGACGGTTTTTAAGTTGTTTTACTTCTCTCCGTCTTATCGTTTCGTAAACCGGGTCAATCTCGACGTGCATGTTTATCGAGTGCTTCGTCGAGTACCATGCCTCGAGGAACTCTCTTCCTTTTTGTGTCTATCCTTGTGCTAGGATTTCTGCGTTGTTCCAGTCGAAGTGATGTCCTTCTTCGTCTGAATGTATTGAAACAAGTGAGAGAGCATAATGGTTTTTACAAGCTCTTTTATGCTCTTGTATTCTTGTAGACAGTTGTCTTCCTGTCTGACCCACATAATTCTTATCGCAATCTTGACACCGTATCTTGTACACAACATTTCGTCTTTCATGTGCTTTAGGTCTAGCTTTGGGTTTCGACAGGGTTCTTCTCAATGTGGCGGTTGGTTTGTGAGCCACTGTAAGACCGTGCTGTTTGAATAATCTTGCTGTTATCTCGGAGATATTCTTTACATAAGGTAGAACGATTCGCTTTGTTGTCGTTTGTGCAGGCGGAGAGGTCGTAGCTTTGTTGTTTAGACATCGCCGGACAAAGCTGCGTGGATATCCATTTAGTAGGAATGATTTGAATAGGTATAGCTCTTCTTTCTTCTTCGCCTCAAGAGTGCTGCAATGTGTTTCAATTCTACGAAAGAGAGTCCGCACGCAGCTTATTTTGTGACATTTCGGGTGATTACTGTAGTAGTTTAGAATCTGATCGGTGTGTGTTCCTTTCCTGTAAACCGATGTTTGCAACGCTCCATCAATCGTCCTGGTGACTAACACATCCAAAAATGGGAGTTGGTCTTTTATCTCCGATTCCATCGTAAAATGGATGTCCTCCATGGTGTTATTGAGTAACTCGTATGCAACCGCTACTTGACTACGTTTTAGTATCACGAATGTATCATCGACGTATCGGATCCACAACTTTGGGCTGATTATCGGCAGTACATCCTCTTCAAGTTTCTGCATTACTATTTCTGCAACGAGTCCTGACACAGGGGATCCCATTGGGGCTCCTTTCACCTGCTCATAGATCTGTCCATCAAAGGCGAAGTAGGTCGCGAGGCATAGATGAAGTAGCTTGCACAGATTTCCAGTCGTCAGCTTTCCGATTGTTTTTTCACTCTGGTCCAGCCGTTCGATGATTGCTTGCTTTGCGGTCTGTAAGTTGACAGACGTAAAGAGTGCGGTCACGTCGAACGATACCATTATCTCGTCATGATTTACTCTTATATCTTTGATCCTCTCCAGAAATTGTTGTGCGCTATGTATAGAGTGCTGTGATCCAGTTGTTAGGTGCTTGAGACGTCTCCACAACTCTCTTGCTAGGTTGTACGTAGGTGTACCTGGGAGCGATACGATCGGTCTTAATGGTGCACCGTCTTTATGTATTTTTGGAAGCCCGTAGAATTGCGCTATGTTCGGATCGCGGGCCATCATTCGGGCACGATCTTCCTTTGTGATTTGATTCCGTTCCTGGAGTAATTTCAACGTTCTGTTTATTTTGTTTGTCATTTGGGTAGTTGGATTGTTTTCGATGCGGCGGTAGGTTGTTGTATCGCTCAGAAGCTGTTTCGCTTTTTCGACATAATCTGTTTTATTCAATACAACCGTCACGTGCCCCTTGTCTGCAGGTACAATGACAATGGATTCATCAGCTTTCAAAGCCTTTATTGCATCCATCTCCTGTTGAGATAGAGAAGTGTGTTGCTTGTTACGTGCTACAACTGGAATAATTGTAGCTCTCAAATGTTTTTGCGTATAATCGTCAAGCCCACTGGATTTGATTGCACTTTCGAATCCGGACAGGAAGTCCATAGTTGTAGCATCCTTGAAATTGTAATTGAGTCCTTTTGTGAGGACTCGCTTTTCTGCTTCGGATAGTGGTCTATTGGATAGATTTCGGATCCAGTCATTGTAATTAGTTTCGCTATTTGCGTTGGTCAACTTAAAAAACTTATTCTTTAATGCCTCTTGTTTTCTTCTCCTAGCATTCTCCACTCTACGCTCTATTGATAAGCTGAGCTGTTCTGTTAACTGTTGTCCAATAACTCCCAGACAACTAGTCCGATGCTCGTTGATACATCGCTCATATTTTCTTATGCGGTTGTGGGCATCCGTGATCATGATCCGCACCATGTGTTTCCCAAATTGTCGTGCAACTTTCCATGCTTGTGGATGATTAATCGGAGGTCTGTAGCTGACGCTGCGGGGGAGAGTATCATTGCGTAAGCAATCATGAGGAAAAGTCAGTTGCTGCCGTGTGGAGGCATGTCTGCAGGCAAAATCCTCCCAGCGGCGAGCAGTTCGGAGCGTTTCGCGCCCATAATTGTTTAAAATGACTTTATGTACAGGTAGCCCGGGTTGATCGTTCTTGGGTTCAATTGTTCGCCGAGCTTCGTAATTGGTATGCAGACGTTTCATCACCATGCGAGGTGACTTCCTCAGTGCGCTGTAGGGTCAAACGTAATCCGCTGGTTTGGCCGTCGATTTGTGATTGATTAGCAAGTGACTTTTGAATTGGCTCTCTCAATCTGTGCCCCGTGACCATTCGTCTACCCAGCTTCTCTGGTGAATATGGACGTTCCATAGGATGGTTTTGTCCCGGTTGTTGCTGCTGTGTTATTAACGGGTCTGTTAACTGCTTTCGACGGTTTTTAAGTTGTTTTAATTCTCTCCGTCTTATCGTTTCGTAAACCGGGTCAATCTCGACGTGCATGTTTATCGAGTGCTTCGTGGAGTATCATGCCTCGAGGAACTCTCTTCCTTTTTGTGTCTCTCCTTGTGCTAGGATTTCTGCGTTGTTCCAGTCGAAGTGATGTCCTTCTTCTTCTCTATGTAATGCGGAGACGTCTCAGGCACCTAACAACTGGATCACAGCACTCTATACATAGCGCACAACAATTTCTGGAGAGGATCAAAGATATAAGAGTAAATCATGACGAGATAATGGTATCGTTCGACGTGACCGCACTCTTTACGTCTGTCAACTTACAGACCGCAAAGCAAGCAATCATCGAACGGCTGGACCAAAGTGAAAAAAACAATCGGAAAGCTGACGACTGGAAATCTGTGCAAGCTACTTGATCTATGCCTCGCGACCTACTTCGCCTTTGATGGACAGATCTATGAGCAGGTGAAAGGAGCCCCAATGGGATCCCCTGTGTCAGGACTCGTTGCAGAAATAGTAATGCAGAAACTTGAAGAGGATGTACTGCCGATAATCAGCCCAAAGTTGTGGATCCGATACGTCGATGATACATTCGTGATACTAAAACGTAGTCAAGTAGCGGTTGCATACGAGTTACTCAATAACACCATGGAGGACATCCATTTTACGATGGAATCGGAGATAAAAGACCAACTCCCATTTTTGGATGTGTTAGTCACCAGGACGATTGATGGAGCGTTGCAAACATCGGTTTACAGGAAAGGAACACACACCGATCAGATTCTAAACTACTACAGTAATCACCCGAAATGTCACAAAATAAGCTGCGTGCGGACTCTCTTTCGTAGAATTGAAACACATTGCAGCACTCTTGAGGCGAAGAAGAAAGAAGAGCTATACTTATTCAAATCATTCCAACTAAATGGATATCCACGCAGCTTTGTCCGGCGATGTCTAAACAACAAAGCTACGACCTCTCCGCCTGCACAAACGACAACAAAGCGAATCGTTCTACCTTATGTAAAGAACATCTCCGAGATGACAGCAAGATTATTCAAACAGCACGGTCTTACAGTGGCTCACAAACCAACCGCCACATTGAGAAGAACCCTGTCGAAACCCAAAGCTAGACCTAAAGCACATGAAAGACGAAATGTTGTGTACAAGATACGGTGTCAAGATTGCGATAAGAACTATGTGGGTCAGACAGGAAGACAACTGTCTACAAGAATACAAGAGCATAAAAGAGCTTGTAAGAACCATTATGCTCTCTCACTTGTTTCAATACATACAGACGAAGAAGGACATCACTTCGACTGGAACAACGCAGAAATCCTAGCACAAGGAGAGACACAAAAAGGAAGAGAGTTCCTCGAGGCATGGTACTCGACGAAGCACTCGATAAACATGCACGTCGAGATTGACCCGGTTTACGAAACGATAAGACGGAGAGAATTAAAACAACTTAAAAACCGTCGAAAGCAGTTAACAGACCCGTTAATAACACAGCAGCAACAACCGGGACAAAACCATCCTATGGAACGTCCATATTCACCAGAGAAGCTGGGTAGACGAATGGTCACGGGGCACAGATTGAGAGAGCCAATTCAAAAGTCACTTGCTAATCAATCACAAATCGACGGCCAAACCAGCGGATTACGTTTGACCCTACAGCGCACTGAGGAAGTCACCTCGCATGGTGATGAAACGTCTGCATACCAATTACGAAGCTCGGCGAACAATTGAACCCAAGAACGATCAACCCGGGCTACCTGTACATAAAGTCATTTTAAACAATTATGGGCGCGAAACGCTCCGAACTGCTCGCCGCTGGGAGGATTTTGCCTGCAGACATGCCTCCACACGGCAGCAACTGACTTTTCTTCATGATTGCTTACGCAATGATACTCTCCCCCGCAGCGTCAGCTACAGACCTCCGATTAACCATCCACAAGCATGGAAAGTTGCACGACAATTTGGGAAACACATGGTGCGGATCATGATCACGGACGCCCACAACCGCATCAGAAAATATGAGCGATGTATCAACGAGCATCGGACTAGTTGTCTGGGAGTTATTGGACAACAGTTAACAGAACAGCTCAGCTTATCAATAGAGCGTAGAGTGGAGAATGCTAGGAGAAGAAAACAAGAGGCATTAAAGAATAAGTTTTTTAAGTTGACCAACGCAAATAGCGAAACTAATTACAATGACTGGATCCGAAATCTATCCAATAGACCACTATCCGAAGCAGAAAAGCGAGTCCTCACAAAAGGACTCAATTACAATTTCAAGGATGCTACAACTATGGACTTCCTGTCCGGATTCGAAAGTGCAATCAAATCCAGTGGGCTTGACGATTATACGCAAAAACAGTTGAGAGCTACAATTATTCCAGTTGTAGCACGTAACAAGCAACACACTTCTCTATCTCAACAGGAGATGGATGCAATAAAGGCTTTGAAAGCTGATGAATCCATTGTCATTTTACCTGCAGACAAGGGGCACGTGACGGTTGTATTGAATAAAACAGATTATGTCGAAAAAGCGAAACAGCTTCTGAGCGATACAACAACCTACCGCCGCATCGAAAACAATCCAACTACCCAAATGACAAACAAAATAAACAGAACGTTGAAATTACTCCAGGAACGGAATCAAATCACAAAGGAAGATCGTGCCCGAATGATGGCCCGCGATCCGAACATAGCGCAATTCTACGGGCTTCCAAAAATACATAAAGACGGTGCACCATTAAGACCGATCGTATCGCTCCCAGGTACACCTACGTACAACCTAGCAAGAGAGTTGTGGAGACGTCTCAAGCACCTAACAACTGGATCACAGCACTCTATACATAGCGCACAACAATTTCTGGAGAGGATCAAAGATATAAGAGTAAATCATGACGAGATAATGGTATCGTTCGACGTGACCGCACTCTTTACGTCTGTCAACTTACAGACCGCAAAGCAAGCAATCATCGAACGGCTGGACCAAAGTGAAAAAACAATCGGAAAGCTGACGACTGGAAATCTGTGCAAGCTACTTGATCTATGCCTCGCGACCTACTTCGCCTTTGATGGACAGATCTATGAGCAGGTGAAAGGAGCCCCAATGGGATCCCCTGTGTCAGGACTCGTTGCAGAAATAGTAATGCAGAAACTTGAAGAGGATGTACTGCCGATAATCAGCCCAAAGTTGTGGATCCGATACGTCGATGATACATTCGTGATACTAAAACGTAGTCAAGTAGCGGTTGCATACGAGTTACTCAATAACACCATGGAGGACATCCATTTTACGATGGAATCGGAGATAAAAGACCAACTCCCATTTTTGGATGTGTTAGTCACCAGGACGATTGATGGAGCGTTGCAAACATCGGTTTACAGGAAAGGAACACACACCGATCAGATTCTAAACTACTACAGTAATCACCCGAAATGTCACAAAATAAGCTGCGTGCGGACTCTCTTTCGTAGAATTGAAACACATTGCAGCACTCTTGAGGCGAAGAAGAAAGAAGAGCTATACTTATTCAAATCATTCCAACTAAATGGATATCCACGCAGCTTTGTCCGGCGATGTCTAAACAACAAAGCTACGACCTCTCCGCCTGCACAAACGACAACAAAGCGAATCGTTCTACCTTATGTAAAGAACATCTCCGAGATGACAGCAAGATTATTCAAACAGCACGGTCTTACAGTGGCTCACAAACCAACCGCCACATTGAGAAGAACCCTGTCGAAACCCAAAGCTAGACCTAAAGCACATGAAAGACGAAATGTTGTGTACAAGATACGGTGTCAAGATTGCGATAAGAACTATGTGGGTCAGACAGGAAGACAACTGTCTACAAGAATACAAGAGCATAAAAGAGCTTGTAAGAACCATTATGCTCTCTCACTTGTTTCAATACATACAGACGAAGAAGGACATCACTTCGACTGGAACAACGCAGAAATCCTAGCACAAGGAGAGACACAAAAAGGAAGAGAGTTCCTCGAGGCATGGTACTCGACGAAGCACTCGATAAACATGCACGTCGAGATTGACCCGGTTTACGAAACGATAAGACGGAGAGAATTAAAACAACTTAAAAACCGTCGAAAGCAGTTAACAGACCCGTTAATAACACAGCAGCAACAACCGGGACAAAACCATCCTATGGAACGTCCATATTCACCAGAGAAGCTGGGTAGACGAATGGTCACGGGGCACAGATTGAGAGAGCCAATTCAAAAGTCACTTGCTAATCAATCACAAATCGACGGCCAAACCAGCGGATTACGTTTGACCCTACAGCGCACTGAGGAAGTCACCTCGCATGGTGATGAAACGTCTGCATACCAATTACGAAGCTCGGCGAACAATTGAACC